GGGAGTGGCCACTGCACTCCAGTCTGGGCAACAGAGAGACTCCAACTCAAAAAAAAAAAAGAAGGCTCCTTGACTGGAACTGCCCTTTCCACAGACTCCTCACCCCACCACAGTCACCCTCAAAGTTCTGCTTTTTCCTATGAGTGTGGAGCCCCATGCTGGGCAGGGCCAGTTTCTTCCCTGGCCCTCTCTCCCTCCACTGCCCAGGTGCTCTGAGGGCTCCCCATTTGCTCACCCAGAGGCAAGAGTACTGTGGGGCCTTCACAGTCCTGGGAACCACAGTGTCCCTGTTCGCCACAGTTGGGGCATCCTGGGGGTCCTGCAGCCAGCACATCCAGACCAAGAAAAGCAAGGCCACTGACACGGGCTCCCTCGGGGGTGTGGGGGCAGGACATGGGTAGCTTCCCCAGTTGACTGGGAAGCCCTGGAAGCTGATAAGAACCAGACCTGGAGTAAATCCTAGGCCAGCCCACTACTCAGCACCAGGTAACAGTCATGATACCCATTACTCTGCGCCGAGGAACAGGTGCCCCTGAAGCAGCTTCCTGGACAGTAGCCCTGGAGGAAAGGGGGGGGGCTACATGGGTGCTGTCCCCTCCACTGAGGGGGTGTTCGGGCAGCAGACTGTCCAGGCAAACCCGGTGAGCCAGCCCTGCTGAGCCGTTGATGGCGACAGCAAAACACCTGAATTCTCAGGGCTGACATATAGCTCATTGAATCCCCCAGTAACCTGTGTTACACAGAGGGAACCAAGGCACAGGGAGGCCGAAGACTTGCCCAGGGCCACGTAGCAAGGGGGTGATGGAGACAGGAATGGAACCCGGGCCACCCAGCCCCTCTGTGGAGCTCAGCTGCTCTCCTCCCTGGCCCTGTCTGCTCTCCTGGCCTGTATCCTGCCGGCCTGGCTGTGTCTGGCTCACTGGTCCCCAAAGTCAGCCCCTGCTCAACACCCCTGCCAGGCCCCCGGAGTTTCTGCCTATACACTGACTCCCTATGGGCCTGCTGCTGAGTGTCCGAGTATCTGGACCCCAGGAGGTGGGAACCCTGGGTCTGGTGGCAGGAGGGATGGAGGTGCAGGGGCACCACAGGGGAGGGGCCAACCACACCTGCAGCTGCCCCATTGCCCATGCCACCATCCCTCCAATTGTGGTACCTCGCTTTCTTTCTTAAATATACGATTGCTTAGAATGAGACTGCAGGCAAGTTAGTATGTTTTAGTGCTCATCAAAAGAAAATAAAGACTTTTACTAAGTCTTTATTGGTACTTATACTTTTTTTTTTTTTTTTTGAGTTGGAGTCTCACTCTGTCACCCAGACTGGAGTGCAGGGGCCGCTCCTGGCCACCGCAGCCTCGACCTGCTGGGCTCCGGCGATCCTTCCACCTCAGCCTTCCAAGTAGCCGGAATTACAGGCATGCGCTACCATGATCGGCTGATTTTTTTTTTGATTTATTGTAGAGTTGAGGTCTTGCTGCCCAGGCGGGTCTCAAACCCGCGGGCTCGGGCAATCCACTCACCTCAGCCTTCCAAAGGCGTGGGATTACAGGCTGAGCCACCGAGCCCAGCTGGTACTTATACTTTTTTAGATGGGTGCCAAGGACTGCCCTAAGCACTTTACATGCATTGGTTGATTGGATTCCTACAATAGCCTTGTCCCTGGGGAAACCTAGGGAATTTGGCTCCTGGGCCCATTCTTTTAACTGCTGCCCTTTGCTAGTTGTTTTCTAACTTGAAACACAATCTAGGCCAGGTGCATTGGCTCGTGCCTATAATCCCAGCACTTTGGGGAGCCAAGGCGAGAGGATTGCCTGAGCCCAGGGGTTTGAGGCCAGCCTGGACAACTTGGTAAGACCTCATCTCTACAGTAAATCAAAAAATTAGCCAGGTGTGGTGGTGCACACCTGTAGTTCCAGCTATTTGGAAGGATGATTCTGAAGGATCACCTGAGCCCAACAGGTCAAGGCTGTGGTAGCTGTGAGCATGCCACTGCACTCTAGCCTTGGTGACTCCAATTCAAAAAAAAAAAAGGAAACAAAATGCAGCCTAGATGCTGAGCATGGTTGAGGGGCCGCACTCCTGAGGGACGGACCCGGGACACACCCCCACCCCCCACACCCACACCCCCGCCAAAGTGAACTTGTAGTGGCGGAGCAAGTGATGGAGAGGAAACTCCTGCCCCTTTAACCTACTCCCTTCCCACCCTGGGGGTCCAGAGCTGATTGTTGATGTTTGGGAATGTTGACCACCCCCTGGGTACCCTGGGGCTGGGGTGGATCCAAGCTGTCACCCACCTGCACCTGCGGGTTCTCATCACTGTCTACCTGGCCCACAGTGAGCTGGATTACTACGACTCCCACAATGTCAACACCCGGTGCCAGAAGATCTGTGACCAGTGGGACGCCCTTGGCTCCCTGACCCACAGCCGCAGGGAAGCCCTGGAGGTAAGGGGGTGTGATGTCACCCTCCGAACTCTGAGCTCCCACCGAGGGGACGTTTTGGGGCCCCTCCTGCTAAATGACTGAACTGTCTTCCCTCTTTCCCTCTCCTCCTTGCCATATACCAGAAAACAGAGAAACAGCTGGAGACCATCGACCAACTGCACCTGGAGTATGCTAAGCGGGCAGCCCCGTTCAACAACTGGATGGAGAGTGCCATGGAGGACCTCCAGGACATGTTCATCGTTCACACTATCGAGGAGATTGAGGTCCGTCCGTCCCCCCCCCCGCCCCTCAGGGCCTCTGCGGGGCTGTGCTGCCCCCTCACTCCTGCCCCTCCTGCAGGGCCTGATCTCAGCCCACGACCAGTTCAAGTCCACCTTGCCAGATGCGGACAGGGAGCGGGAGGCTATCCTGGCCATCCACAAGGAGGCCCAGCGGATCGCCGAGAGCAACCACATCAAGCTGTCGGGCAGCAACCCGTATACCACCGTCACGCCCCAGATCATCAACTCCAAGTGGGAGAAGGTGGGCCGGGCCGTCGACAGGGCCCGAGGAGGGGGGCCAGGCCGAGGGGGGCCGCTGCCCTGACGACAACTGCTCCGCATCCCCCGCCAGGTGCAGCAGCTGGTGCCAAAGCGGGACCATGCGCTCCTGGAGGAGCAGAGCAAGCAGCAGTCCAACGAGCACCTCCGCCGCCAGTTCTCCAGCCAGGCCAACGTGGTGGGGCCCTGGATCCAGACCAAGATGGAGGTGAGGTGCCGACTGGCCCTTGGAGCCAGGCCCACTCTCAGGGCAGGCTGGAAGAGCTCCAGGAAGCCCCCTGCGTGGAGGCTAGGAGGCTTGATCACCTTGGGGCTTGGAGGGTCAGCAAACAGTGCCTGCAGACAACCCTGGCTGAGGAGTCGGCTGGATGTGGGGTTGGGCCTCTCCTCCTGCACAGCTTCACCTCTGAGCCTGTTTTCTGAGCTCTAAAAGGGGAATGAAAACAGTGATTTCATTCTCTCCACACATGCTTTTTGCACCCTGCTCTGTGCCAGCCCTGCTGTGAGCACTGCAGTATACCTGTGAACAACACAATCTAAGCTCAGATGCTCACTGCGGCCCTTGTGATCCAGCCACGGGGGTTTGTGATGCTACTGAGTGTTAGTAGCAACTCTGGCCACTACCTACTGAGTGCTCTTGACATGCCAGTCTCCAGGCTGGCAGCAAGCAGCCTCATAAACTCAAGCCTGTGAAGGGGTTTTGGGTGCCAGGCAGGTCAGCATCAAGGTTCAGGACCGGCTACACAGCACTGTTAGGAGCTGAGGGTATGGGATGCCTCTGCTCACTAGCCAAGGCTTCTGGGGTCAGCTAGCCTGCATTCAGATCCTGACTCTTCCTCTTACTGTGATAAATCGCTACCCCCTCCCCACAAACCTCAGTTTTCACATCTGCAGTCAGGCCTGCCACAGACCAGGGCCTCACAGAGAGGTCAAAGGTACAGTGAAGTTGGGCATATGGAGCTCTTGGCATAGAAAGACTCCCTGTCATGGCTGCCTTGGCTTGAGAGGGCAGGACTGGAGGGGACAGCCACATGGGGTAGACCTTCTTCCTGGGGACCCATGAGCAGAGGCCTCAGGCTAGAGGGGATCTGGCAGGGGGGCAAGCCAGCAGCAGGAGAGGCCTCCTGGTGCGGGGCAGTGCCAACCTCACCCCCCCCCCATGGCACGGCTACTTTGCAGGAGATTGGGCGCATCTCCATTGAGATGAATGGGACCCTGGAGGACCAGCTGAGCCACCTGAAACAGTATGAGCGGAGCATTGTGGACTACAAGCCCAACCTGGACCTGCTAGAACAGCAGCACCAGCTCATCCAGGAGGCCCTGATCTTCGATAACAAGCACACCAACTACACCATGGAGGTATGCCTACTTCCCTTTCACCAGTCAGGTTGCTTCCCAATAAGATGGTTTCTGTCGCTGTTTTTCCCAATCTGCTGATTCAGCGATCCTTTCAACTCAGCCTTCCAAGTAGCTGGAACTACAGGCACGTGCTACCATGCTCGGCTAATTTTGGATTTATTATAGAGACAAGGTCTCACCATGTTGCCCAGGCTGGTCTCAAACCTGTGGGCTCAGGTAATCTACTCACCTCAGCTTCCCAAAGTGCTGGGATTAAAGACTGAGCCTGGACCCTTCTTTTTTTTAATGCTGTTTAAAACTGATTAAAGGACTAGACCAGAATGTTTACACATTTTTAAAAAATCACAGTTTCTCTAGCACTGCTCTTTCTTTTTTTTTTTTAAGTTGGAGTCTCACTCTGTTGCCCAAACTGGAGTGCAGTGGTATGCTCACAGCCACCGCTGCCTTGACCTGCTGGGCTCAGGCAATCCTTCTGCCTCAGCCTTCCAAGTAGCTGGAA